CTCCAGGAATTCATAATGGGGGTCGGTCTAAATATCCTTAATAGGGGGTCAGAACCTACCTTCATAGATCGGAGATGACAGGAGGTCATAGATATCACTCTGGGGACGAATAGAGTGGCAGACATGATTGGAGACTGGAGGGTCTCAAAGGACCTTTCAGCGTCCGATCATCAAACCATAAGAATGTCCGTCCACACACTAAAAGAAATGGAATGGGTAAGAAACCCAAGATGAACAAACTGGGGAAATCACCGACAAAGTCTATCTGACAATCTTAGGGATATCATCCTCAGATTTAACAACAAAAAGCAGCTGGAGGAAGCTTCGATTGCCCTAAACCAGGCCATCATGGATTCCTTCGAGACAAACTGCAGGCTAATCCCGAAAGGGCAGCCTACTGAGACTCCTTGGTGGTTAAAGAAACTCGGTGGGCTGAGGGGCAAGGTAGAAAAGCTTTTAACAAAGCTAAGAATATGAGAGCGGGCCCCCGTAAGGAAGACGCATGGAAAACTTACAGAGGCTTGCTTGCAGATTAAAACAAGGCAATAAAGGCAGCTAAAGAGGCAGCTGGAGGGCTTTCACAAGCAACGTGGAGAGTCAATCGGAGACCTCTAGGCTGGCAAAAAATCCTTGGAACAAACAAGGCTCCATATCTAGGGAGCCTACAGGTACCACATGGCAGCCACATGGAAACCATGGGAGAGACTCTGAAACTCCTAATGAACACTCACTTTCCAGGCTTCATACAGGCCCAGGAGAGGGACAAAGAAACAATGCAAAATCAGAGGGATGTCTACGAAACCCATGATTGGGCATTGGCAAATAAAGTAGTGCAGCCCTGGGGGGTCAAGTGGGCCATCAAAACCTTTGAACCCTTCAAGGCACCGGGACCAGACGGGATCTACCCAGCCCTATTACAGGAAGGGATAGAGACTATCACGGGACCCCTAACCAAGATACTTAGAGCTAGTATAGCCTTGAAACATGTCCCTAGTGTGTGGAATGAGACTAAGATAGTATTCATTCTCAAGCCTGGAAAAAGCGGTTATATAAAACCAAAAGACTTCCGTCCTGCAAGCCTCACATCCTTCATCCTGAAGACCCTGGAGAGGTTGGTGGATGGACACATCAAGGCCGGGCCCTTGGCTGACAGACCCCTCT